TTTTTTTTTTTTTGTATGGTGGGATGTATTTTAACCCACCTCGAAAAGTTGAAGTTATTCATAGTCATACGGTTCATATTTTAATATTCTTTTTTTTTCATTTTTTTTTTATATTAAAAAAATGGTCCGCGCAACTTGGGTTTTCTTTAAAATCGTGTGCCATAAAGAGTTAAATCACAATGATGATGACTCGTAACGTTACGCACAAGATCACTATGGTGACTACTTTCTGATACGAAATTTTGTTTTTTTTCTTACGAGTTCAAGTAACCTAAGTTTCGGCGAGAAATTAATAAACCGACTTATGATAGCGTGACAAATCGGTGAAGTTATCTCTACACAACTGTAACGAATCGTTCAAGTGTGACCCATGAGAATTGAGAACTGTAAGTGACCCACTATCGTGATTAATTGTTTGCATGATTGCTCGTGAGGCTTATAGTCTACTTTTCTCTTTAATTTATTCGCGAAATATTGAAATCAACTCGTAGTCTTTGTACATAAGAATTGTTTTTACAGAGTACAGAGTAACACGGTCGATAAAGCAGATTCCCTTAAAATCGATCGCAATGATTCGCTTTACCCTTCCTTTCATTTCATCGATATCTTTGTTTCGTAAATTCTGATTGCCCGCAAAAATTAGGGAAACAGAATTAATTCACGCATTGTGAAATCATCGTGTGCTCTGTTCACTATATTTCTCCTTTCAAACTGTAACAAAAGCGAGTAACTCGATCAAATGCAAAAAGTTTTTTCAATACAGCGACGCGTATACATAGAATTGTTGAATCTATCGCGATCGGACCGACGCATAGTTTGACACCTCCCTCTCCACCCCATGTTCGCGCTGTTAAAGGTTCATTTCCACCCTGTCGTCGATACGATCAGAGGGGAACATGACGCGGTCGCGTTGGTGCTAAGTTGACGCGCAGATGAGACGTGTGAAACGCATGCGCTCGCGCTATCGCGTGCATCGCACGAGACAAGCTCGCACCGCGCGCGTAGGTCGTTCGCGACGGAGAAGAGGAACTCGCGAGTGAACATGTACGACTCACGAGGAGAGAATAGTGCCGATCGTATGCTCCGACTCGACGGTCGCGTTTCTCCTGTATGCCCGGAGAATATTCGTGGAAAATTGAACTCCAACTTCGTTCGCGTTTGAACCCAACTCGATCGTTCAAGTGTGTTTTTAGGAAGTAATTTGAAATCTTTACTTTCTCTTTTTTTTATTGTTACGTACATCG